AAATGCATTTGTCATATGACCAGGTGTTGGAAGGATACGCTTCTTCTGCTTCATCGACGACCGGCACCATCGCATCTAGGTCAAATCCAGGTAGAATTGACAACAAAACAACTTGCGCACTAATGAGCATAATAAAAAATATCGACCATCATATCACACAAAGAAATGGTATATTTCCAAATGAGATCATGATGTCAACAACAGCACAAGTTCATAGTCTTCGCATCTTTTGAAACCTTGCATTATAATCTGGTCCGTCAGCAGGTTAAGATCGAGGGAAGTGGCTTAGGTAGGAGAGTCTGTGGAGTCTCTGATTTCTGGAGGTCATAATTTATATGCAAGACCACACACTTGTGTTTTTTTAACGAATCAGAAAGCACTCATTTATTGCGCGGCCGAATATATTCACGTCCTCACAATAAATGAATGCTTTCTGATTCGCTAGAAAAACACCAGTGTGTGGTCTTGCTTTTATCACATACCTTCCGTATTTGGTAGAGATCGATACAAAGATTTTACAATCTTTGATATTTTTTGCAAATATCGGGAACTGTTCAGTTCGCCATGACAAGGGGATTCCCATAAAAAAAGTAGTTCCGGCTAGTAGGTAAATACAACATTCCGTATTGCACATGTGCAATACAGAACGTTGTATTTCATGGTCCAAAAATTGCTTGTATTACTATAACAAGATTCAACAGGTACATATATGTGATAAATGTACAATACTATTGTTTAAAGACAGCACATCGACAGCATATCGACAATATATTTTAATGTGATATTAAAGTGTTTGGCTTGCCTCAAATGAAACAAAAGTCGACAATAAGAGGGGCAATCTGTGCTTAGAGTCTGCTGGAAAATTTGGGCACTCAAAAAGGATTTTGTTAGATAAAAACAAAGTAATTTTTACAATTTATTTGTACCTTTGAAAATATATGTTCCGACTTAATTTACAACTATGTTTTTATATTTGTGTCCGCCTTTCTACGTCAAAATCTTCAGTCTGCAGAATATCTTTGGGTGTAACTTCAACATAAAATCAGGCCTCTTAAATTATCGTAGAGGCCACTACGCCCTAATGTTCAGCCAATATATCAATATCGTCATAATATTAAGGCCATATGATACTGTAAGAGCCACTTCCATCGTGATATTTAGCCTGTCCATTTCTATGGGACTCCACATAGTTATATATAGGAGGTGTTAATCAGCGCGTAGATTATTGTTGGAGGAAACTACGTCATGAAGTGGCATGACGCCGGGCTCGTGATCGAAGGGTTCGAGTCACGGTACTGCACTGTGATGTATACTTTACTCCGCTTGTTCCAGTCTACTCAGGTGTAAATGGTTACGTGGTTGGCCAGTGCTAGAATTGTTGAATGCTAGCTGTGAGCGCCGAAGTGGCAGCACCGCCTGCAAAAACATTGGCTGGTTATAAAGCACTATTACCACGGATAATGATTTGTGAACTGCTTCGAGACGACCTACGATTTCGGTTGTGATGAAGGGTATAAGAATCTCGAATTATTATTATTATTATCATGATTTAAAGCCTGTAGATTATCATACTATTTCACACAGTATGTTTTTCTACACCGAGAAATATAGACCACCTCTTCATGACATTAAGCCTGTACATTATTTATACGCATCAACATGGTCAAATAAATCCGTACGTAGATTATGGTAATAGGCAACTTCACCATGATATTCAGATCAGGTGAAATCGTGGGGGCCACTTCTTACTGATATGAAGTCTGTAGGTTATCGGGGAAGACCATGACATTATGAGATTCAATATGTAGCTGTAAGTGTGATGTGACATCACACACACTAAATAATTGGTTAAACATTCTGTATGTTATGAACTGAATTGAAGATAATCGGGTCGATGTAAAACGGGGAAAAACCCATTCTCTAGTTGAGTTTCGAAAGGTTAATTAATTTTACGTATTATCGCACGTCGCTTATTTAGCATGGGATACCGTAGTTGATGCTTACCTAGCTCGTGTATACAGAGTAAATCCATGTACAAACAATGCCTATCAGAAGAAATGACATTTGTAGGAAACATCTCTTTTCTCCTCACATGATAATTGGTTCTGTTCACTGTAACTAGCGGGGGGAAACATTGAGTGTAAATCAATTTTGTGCATTTCTTATCTCGGAATAGATTACAAGGTTTGATGGTATGATGTTGTTATTTGTTTTATTTTATTTTTCTTCAAATAATGAAGAGATCGATAACGTACCAGTCCAGCCCATAATTGGGCTAGTCCAATATTGAGCTACCCTGATTTTGAATAAGTAACCAACTTCACGCTGGTTTCTAGACTGCTTTTCACTCTATATTTGTATTATCTTTTCTCGGAAATTTAGTTGTTCTTGTATATGTAGAACATTTATCCTAAAACAACAATCTGAAGACTTGCTTAAGTCGAAATATAGATAAGGAAATGAGTGACACTCGTAAAATCTTGTAGCTAGTCTTACTTGTTTTCGTGTATTTTTTTCCAGATTGTATAACATATTCTTGTTTGTATATAGGTAAACAAGTCATTTTATACACGTTCAGTCCAATCATATATTATTGTGTAATCAAGTCAATATTATTAAAAACCTACGTTTAAGTTACAAGTTTCCACGAATTCATCAGAGCTTCAGATTCCTGGCGGAAATAAATGGTTAGACTTCTTAAATCTCGTCTTATTCGCTCAATTCTTAAATGTCCATTATATTCTATATCCATTTCCCAACTTCAGTGTCTTCAAAATTTAAGACAAAGTGTTCAAGCACAGTTTCAAAAAGCAAAAATCTCTCTTGTTTAGTCCCTTAAATGACCATAGGTCTTTCCTTCTTGTATCAATCCTAAACGTTGTTTAAAGATAATGACATCATATGCTTAACAAAAACCAATCACATTCTTTATTTAGCTGAACCAAATGCATCATATACGTAAAATGAGTAAATATCAGGTTTGCATTAAAATACAATGTCAATATGTGACATACGTTTCTTAAATTATTTCTACCTGTATAATGTGAAGTTGTGATATGATTCTTGATTAGAAATATAGGTAGCGTGACGTAGAGAAATTTCAATGTTGCCGCTTATAATTTTGACCATGTTTTACAATGTAGATATTTGTAGCTTTTGCGTTTACCTGTGCTATGCCGGGTAGGATTAGTAGCGAATCAGAAATAAGATCGGCCGATCTCTGGTAAGAGGAAAAATATTCACTACGACGGCAGGCATGTTGCTGAGTGTTGGGAGAATTATCAGTATATTACAATTGCTCGAGCATGTATGTACAGTATTAAACAATCTTTATAATGTTGTACAGAGAAGTAAAATTACGTTAAATTGTTTATAAAATGTTAAAAGAAGAAGGGAAGTTGGTAATATTCAGCTGTCAGTTAGTAATTTGGTAATATGTTTTTATCTCAAATGTAAACCGAAAGGTCACGTAGGTAACTTTCACTTCCGGTGTCAACCGGAAGCTTTTTGTAAAATGTAAAAAAAAAAGGGTTTCGAGATTGCAAACACAGTTTTTGTCTGATAGTCTCCATGTTGAATGGGTGATGGGGTAGACATCACGATGGAGACCTGACCAGGACAGCTGGGCATGGCTTGAGCCAAGGTAGTACCAGTTCTACATACATAACATTGGAGAACGACCTGAACTATATCCAGACATCTGACTGTACGTCTCTAGCTAACCACTCTACAGCTCGAGTAGGACATCAACGTGGACGGCGTCACACCTGGGGTTCACGCGCCGGGACTCTCTCATTTGTGTTAAATTACAGTGACTTCCAAATGTGACGTTCTGAACAGAACGTGGTATTTGACCTGTGTATAATAACTTTGTATTATTACTGTTTATTTGAAAGAACCTTCTGTGTTTTGTCTGGGATCATGAAATACTCAGAGTGAATTGTGCACGGTTAAAGAACAGGTTTTAGTCACCATTAACATATGCTTGTAAAGAAATATGGTGTATACTTGGAATAACAAATGAAAAGGTTATTTTGATTCTTCATAGTGAAATGAAGAATCTAGTCATACTCTAGTTATTGAAAAACATCAGCAACCGCAGCAGCCAGATTCGTTATTTTTTTATCTGGCTTGTGGAGAGATGAAATGTTAGTAGTGAAAATTCGGGTACTGTAGCATACATTTGTTTGTTGACCATTTATATTCGAGTTTTGTGTATTCCTTTCACTTTGCACGATTCCTTTTGCAAAACTCTACACACAATACCTGGAAATCGATTGTACAAAAAAAATTGTTCATATCTATTCAAATAGCATTTTCTTAGTTATAGAAATAGATGTTATTTATACAAAACACCGCCAAACTATTTACATATAAAGGTTTTCCCAAAATCCCAGTGTGTGTGTGGGGGGGGGGGGACTTTTATTCAGCTTAAGAAAGGGCCGCGGTGTAAAATATGTTAAGTTGTCTGACATCTGTGAACAGTAGTCCGCAGGTCGGTGGTTTTTCTTCTGGTACTCCGTTTGTCCTCCACTACCAAAACCTGTCACGTCCCTAAATTGCTGTAGCTGTTAAAATCTCGTTAAGACCGAATACCTATTTATATTCTAACCATAATATATATATATATATATTTGAGTGTTAAATTGAAGGACTTGTTAAGGTTTTTGTTACCAGTCCTGATAAGTTTGTATTAAATTCAGCCTCAAATGAAAACAAGTCGGCAAGAGGACGGCGAATATTATTGTTATAGGAAAAAACTCTGTCTACAGTATTGCCGCTGAACTTAAAAATGATCTTGTCAGACAGGGACTAAATAAATCTCACAATTTCATCTTCGGTATGTTTCATTTCGGCCATTGTTGCGCTTAAAAAATGCTCCGAATCATTTACCTCTTTATATACATGACGCAGTCCGCGTTTCTTCGTCATGAACTGAGTGCAAATCAATCTTGTGAATTTCTTATCTCTGATTAGATTACAAGGTCTCCTTGATTGTATGGTTTTGTTATTATTTATTTATTATTCATATAAGTTATCAAGAGAGCAATTATGTAACTTTAACTTTAAAACTGCTACATTGATGTCTGAGATGTTTGGTACAATTACACATCTGTGTATCCGGCCGGATATTGGATTACGACACTTGCAGGACATGACGGTTTTTTACAACATTTGCCCGGAGCGGGATCCTCTTGATGACAGACATCTGGAAGATTCCATGTTAAACACCTAAAATAGAAAAAAATAAAAGACTGTACTTAGGTTCCTCTCTTCATTAATCCTGGCTTATTACATATCTTCAGGAAGATGTCAAATTCAATCAACTTAATAAAATAACTATCGTTCAGTCTGTGACAAATACACAAGTGATGTTTGTCACAGTGTGAAAATGTCACTTTTGATATTTACCAAACAGAACGGTGATATAAATTTGCTTTGTTAAAACCCCTTGATAATCTGTTTAGATACAGATGAAGCACGGTAGAATCATCCTCGATAGCCAGAGGTTATTGGCTGCATACACTAGGGTATACTAACCTCAAGATTAAAACATTTCTGTAAGCAAATCTTATCAAATAAAAACAAAAACAAAACCCAGTAGAATGTTGTTTAGTATCCAATTAAAATTGCGCGTACTCTTGTTGTAAAGCGTGAGGTAATTAAAATATGAAATTTAATGGGTTTTTTATGCTGAATACCACTCCGAGCATACGAGATATTGTTTCTTGTGCATAAATCTGGAGAAAGATATAGGTATCCTGCCTTTCTTTTGAAAGTTACATGGTATTCACCAAGAAACCCTTAAATATCATCTGCATATGTACTCAGCTTCATAAAGCATACCAAAAATGTTATTAACACTTAAATAATTTACTTAAGTAACTTACAATACTAAATCACATTAAGTATATTACAATACTAAATCTCATTCGTACTTGAAACAAAATATTTCTATTTTGCCAGTTTAGACAGAAAGGATTGCTTTGCTAAACAGTTGCGTCATTGTTTACGAAAAGCATGAAAAATATGTCAGACGTCAACCATTTAAGTAGATGCTATTTCAAACAAAGATTAACACCGTAGAACGAAAACTTTTATTTTTTTCAGATGTTTTAATGAAAAGTGTAACAGTGTCTTTGACCTTTCTATTTACTCGGCTAACCTTCATAATAAATATGTCAATTTTAAACTCTTAATTTACTTTAAATTTGAAAAACAAGTTTCGCTACTTAAGTCAGCTTATAATAACATATGACGTTAAGTTTGATGTTATTACGAATCCGTATTAACTCACAGTTCGGTACAGCGATAAAACCCGGTGCTACCGTCTACACACTCACAGTTGTACTGACAACCTTCCTGCCATATTTCTCCGTCTCTGTGCGTGATGCCGTTGTAATTACATCCATTTGACGCTACCAGTGTAAACAATAAATTTGACACATATTAGTCATTAGACATAAACACACAAAGTACTCCATATTTTCTTTCCTATCGGCACTCAGTCTTGCATCTTGATCATCACAAAGGACTCAGTAAGTATAATTGAATTGGGAAAATTTACCTTAAAAATGTTAAAATTATGGTTTGACAAGAAGAATGTATGTAGTGTTTCCATCAAAACTTTAAAAAAAAATGTCATACAGTACCTGCAGAAGGTTGGGTTGACGCTACATCATCTACAATATAAATGTACACATTAAAGCAGGTCATCTAACGTGTGACGCCAATGTTTGGAGCACAAATGGTTTACTGTATCCAATTGTAATTAAACCATTCTTAGTTCTTTTCTTATATAAAGAGGACGAGTAAATATCTACATCATTGTTCCTTGAACTCCAAATAAGGAATGTAGGTTTGAATAAACTGTATAGAAAACTTAAAGGTTGACATGTCTACAGATAGGATTAGGTTGTTTGTAGACGTAATAAGTTACTTTATACTGGGAAAATATCTTGTGAAGTTCGCTCTTATATTTTATAACTTTTAATTTTATATGTTATTTACTTTAATCATGTTAATATTATATGCAACAATTGTGGGTTAAATCATAATCATGTGGATGTCGGTGATTTGTGATATTGACTTGGAGTACCTATATATACTATATATATTTTAAGAAACCTCTGGTCAATATTCACTTTATGACGTAACTTCCTATGTAACGTCACAATGCTCTCTGCCAAATGTGATACATTTATTTTTTGTAATAATAAAATCATCATAACATAATTTCTTAAAAAACAATTTAGGACCTTTATCTCGGTGAATATGTCGTTTAATGGACTTGCGAAAGCGATTTGACCTCGGCTTCCTGATTAATATAACTTTGTCGGGTTTACTACCACATATTCACCTCAACAAAAGTTCACAATAGATATAAATAGCACCGTATCATCAAGAAGAATAACATACCACGTGACTGTACTTACTACAGAAGTCACAGTAGCTAGCACAATTCTGTCGGGCCCAACTACCATAGTGCTGACACATTTGCTTGCCATAGCCTGAGCACGTTGCCAACTCGTCATGACACGTGCCTTTAGGAGGTATCGGGAGCGGGGAGGTGGGTTTCTCGACGTTACCTTCAACAAGCAATGTTAATATGGATCAATTGATTTTGTGACAGACCACACTACTCCATTGACATCCACAATGGAAAGAGAAATATCATAAGATATTTGGTTCAGTATGGCTAAGGATAATACTAACATTCTGATACATAAAAATGGAACAGAAATAACATCAAAACGATAGAGGGCAATATGTCTTACTCAAGGGAGTACACATGAGACATGATTAACTCAAAGATCAGCAATAATGATGCCCAACCATAAGAAGACAGTAGACAGTAAAACATTAAGACATCAAGTCACAAACGATGCCCAATTTACAGAATACAAACAGATACATATCAATTAAACCACCTGTAGTTAAAATATAACGACAATTTAATAAGGGTCAATCACGTTCTTTGTCATATATATTGCTAAAGTTAATCATGTATTAGTCAATGAGTAGTAGCTACATTGTATTATGTTTGTATTTCATAGATCAGCAATATATGTAAGAGATCGCTAGATGACCATTTGATACCGATGCTATAGTTCCATCTAATGTCATTGTGTCATCGTTACCAATTAACATTCCTTCAGTAATGACATTCCAGCAACTCGTATTAAGTTTACATTTCACAGCTGATTCTCTTCTCTCTAGTGCCCGATGTAAACATCAGGATGTTATAAAGATATGCGCCCTATTGGTATATGGACTACTTTGTCGTAAGAGATATAATTTAGTATTAAAGAAAAAGCGACAACATTAAACCTTACAAACAAAATGGCGGGTACACACCAAACTGCTTTATCCGTAGTTAAATACTAATACAATGATTAAGAATACGGTATATGGGCAGTTGAGGTCCGGAACGAAAGGGATATTTACCAATATTTCAGTACCATATTAAGTGTTTGAAATGCTTATTATTTCGTTCGTTCCTTCCTTCCTTCCTTCGTTCCTTCGTTCGTTCATTCATTCGATTTCTAAATTAATTTATTGTAGTGGTGTTCATGTCCCTTTCCCCTTTAAATTTGGTGCCTCCTCTGTTCCAGTTGAAGTTATTTCGTTTTAACGTTGAATCTCATTCTATCATCACTGTATACATAATTCTGTATCTCTCTATCTTTACTTACCACAAAATCCACAGAATGACTTGCAGTTTTGAAAGCCCCACTCCTTGTACACTCCGTGACATGCTGATGTACCATACGATTCACAATCCGTTATTTCATCCACACACATAAGAGGGATTTGTGTCATGGATGTAACTGTGCATTGTACAAATAAACAATATGTTTATATTTCATTTGTATCGACTAATAATGTTGTAATTATCCCATCACAGCTGGAACTATTACCCGTGAATGTTTCCAATTGGAAACTATTCGTTTCCTTCCGTCAAACTTTTTTTGTCGAGGAATAATTAATGTTATGATGGAAACTTCATAATGTTTCCGACGTTGGACGCCTGACGGAACTAGTAACCATAGAAACAAATATGGCTGTTCCAACAGTTGGTAAAACAGTTTGTGTAATGTTTTGTTTTCTTTGTTGTTGTTTTTTGGAACTCAACAAGACCAACGTAAATATGAGAAATGTAATGCCTTTTTTCAAACATTAGTAAAGTTCCATAACGGAACTGATTACACCAAATTAGTGGAAACGGAATTGTGTTGCATACCTTCATAATGTTTGAAAGGTGTATTTCATTTATTTAATTGACAACAACATTTAGCATACGATCAACATCAAAATGAATATTACACATTACCTCAAATAACAGGAAACGTTACCGAACCCTTTTTATTGAAAATGGAGATTGTATAACTTGCAATGCTGGACTCTTAATCAACATACAAATATACATAAATATAATTTCACTATTATGAGATCCTAAAGGCAACCTGAAGCAAATACAAGACGTGTAACTGGACATTATCCTATTAAAACTTTTAAAAGCTTTTTAGCATTCGTTATTGTATATTTGTGGTTTAAACATTAAAGTTTCGAAGAAAGTGTATAATAATTCACTGTTTGTTGCTACGACTGATTTCTGTTCATATTTATTTAAAAAATATAATGTTTTTTTATACTCACCATAACCTACCAGCAGCAGGAAGCATATTGGTACAAAACCTGTTCAGATAAACGTGGGCTGATGCATCATGCGATTGTAACTGGTACACAAAATATTGGAATTTTTTTATTGTACATAAACATACAAAGAAATGAACAAGTGAGCCCTATATACTAACGTCGTTGTAACAAAAACATAGTTAGGAATAACAAACTGGAAACGTATGCACATCATTGTGGAGTGCAAACATTCGAAGAACATAGCGGAAATCAAGATCGTTATGATATACAAACTGGAAACGTATGCACATCATTGTGGAATGCAATATTCAAAGAACATAGCGCGAATAAAGATTGTTATGATATAGAGTACAAAATAACAGATATGACATATAATACACTTTGTTATAAAATACAAAGAAAATAAATAGTACATGTCATGGATATAGCTAAGACATAAAATATACACAAAACACAAGTGAAATATGTCAAGAACTGCCTTATGACAAACAAACAGACACAAACGAAATGTTTTTCACGTAGATAAATTGTTAGACCACAAACACTGGTATAAACGGACAAATAATATACAAACATTCATATATCACTACTCACCTTTCATTGTGATATAGGTTCCACTTTATAAATATAAAAACATACATATATCACTACTCACCTTTCATGGTAGTATATGTTCCTCCTTCAATAAAAACCCTTCATATCCTGTACAAGTGTCTCTTTCACACGAACCATTCCCATTTCTTATCAGCAGGACTTAACCTCCGTGTAATTTTGCTTAGATAAACCGTACGAGTGGAGTCAGGACACTTTTGATGTCAAGGTACTCAGTCGATATATTGTAAAACCTACAGTATAATTATTTGAAGCCCAAGATTCGGACCCGCTCTTGTCCCGCAGGTTTATTACTTTTTGTTTATTCTATCCTTCGATTTTTCATAAAAGTTCTACAATGTTTAGGGTGTTTTGTTCAGAAAGTTTTCATCAAATCTGTATTCTAACACGCTTCGTTAGTGAGGATGTGTTTTGATTGTTTTCAGAACATGTTCTAATCTGCGAATGAATCTTGATCAATCGTGTTCAGCTCCACCCATCGCAACTTATATTAAGCCATACCCCGTTTCTAACCAAAACAAAACGGCGTCAAGCTCGCCTCTTAGCGAAATCCAACACTCTGCTACATTCATTATTGATGTCGATACGCATAGATTGGCATGCATACTGACCTTGAAATGTAAGAATTTGGTCAATGTTAATCGAAATGTGTCGAAACAACTTTAGTAACAGAACGTTCACGAACAATCCAAATATTCCGCCTCATCAACATACAGATCGAACACTCGCCAGTGTACACGGGGCCAAATTACCGACTTAACAAAGCTTCCTTCTAATTGGTCAGTCCGCTGCAGAATGGCACGTCACCAACACAGGTCACAGATACTTTACTACGTACTTGTATCAAGGTAAATACAATGTTTCGAAACATATTAGCGCAATTATTTTGTGAACGTTTATTAGAATGGGGATAGTACGTTGTTTTTCGTGTCTATACTGGCGATTAAATCATGAAATTTGTTTTAAACTCAGGACTATTTTAAAATAAGCAACCTATCAAACACGCTGATTTATAAAGTAACAATAGTTCCAGAAATAGTAGCAGCTGTATCTGATACGGTAATTAATATATTATCAACCTTACCAACACCGGTAATCCATGAAGGACCTACTTTATCAGATACGATAATCCATATAGAGGCATCAGATCCAGAAACGGGAATCCATGAAGTATACTGCATCAGATACGATAATCCATATAGAGGCATCAGTACCAGAAACGGGAATCCATGAATACCTACAGCATCAGATACGATAAACCATATAGAGGCATCAGTACCAGAAACGGGAATCCATGCAGTACCTACTTTATCAGATACGATAATCAATATAGAAGCAACAGTACCAGAAACGGGAATCCTTGAAGTACCTACTGCATCAGATACGATAAACCATATAGAGGAATCAGTACCAGAAACGGGAATCCATGAAGTACCTACTGCATCAGATACGATAATTCATATAGAGGCATCAGTACCAGAAACGGGAATCCATGACGTATACTGCATCAGATACGATAATCCATATAGAGACATCAGTACCAGAAACGGGAATCCTTGAAGTACCTACTGCATCAGATACGATAATCCATATAAAAGCAACAGTACCAGAAACGGGAATCCATGACGTATACTGCATCAGATACGATAATCAATATAGAGGCATCAGTACCAGAAACGGGAATCCTTGTAGTACCTACTGCATCATATACGATAATCCATATAGAGGCATCAGTACCAGAAACGGGAATCCATGAAATATACTGCATCAGATACGATAATCCATATAGAGACATCAGTACCAGAAACGGGAATCCTTGAAGTACCTACTGCATCAGATACGATAATCCATATAAAAGCAACAGTACCAGAAACGGGAATCCATGACGTATACTGCATCAGATACGATAATCCATAGAGAAACAACAGTACCAGAAACGGTAATTCATATGGTAGCGAATGTATACTAGCGAAAAATAGAAACTGTGCATGCGGAGAATGGTTATAGAACATGTATTACCAACTGTATATACATGAAAATTCACACACATGACCGAGTATGACACATACACACTATCCGTGTGGCATTGACATTTTTTTCCGTGCAGTTTGCTCTCTATAGGCGTTGACCAGTTTGCATGTTTTTCTCGTCCAATTATCCAATTCGACAATGAAATTTTATTTTTGAACTGTTGGGTCACTCTGTTGAGACCAGTGAACAGTAAAAACAGCATTAAAACGTTTTAATTTGTGATAAATGCTATGCCGAGGCTCAATAAAAATGACCGCTTCCGGATTATTGGCATGCTTCAAGCTGGTATAGGCCAAGCCGTTGTCTCTACAGGTTTTCCTGTCCATCGAAACACAATCCGGGATTTGTGGAGACGACATCAACAGTTTGGCCACTTCGGCGATCGACCTCGTGCGGGACGTCCACGTGTGACGTCATGTCAACAGGACAACCATATTCGGCTTGTCCATTTGAGAAATCGCTTCCAAACGGCAAGTTTGAGTGCACGGACAATCACTGGGTTGCTTCCAATAAGCCCGAGAACTGTACGGAACCGATTGCGTGTTCTTCTGCCACGTCATCGTGTAGCACGTCTGGACTGGTGCAGAAGGCATCTGCGATTTACTCGACGGGATTGGGCAGGGATTTTGTTTACGGACGAGTCGCGAGTCCACCTGGATAGTAGGGACGGCCGTTAAAGAGTGTATCGTCGCATTGGAGAACGTTTCCATGACGCGTGTGTGGTACAACGACGTTTTTTCGGCGGAGGCAGCGTTATGATTTGGGGCGGCATCACAGCCAACGGGAGAACGCCTCTGGTGGATGTTAACGGGAACTTGAACGCGCTACGTTACTGTGACGAGATCATCCGGACCCACGTCGTTCCATTCGTGCAAGGGCAGCAGCGTCATATTACGCTACGGCAGACAACGCCAGGCCACACACAGCTCGTGTCGCTATGGACTTTCTGGCCCAGCAGAACGTTGACGTGTTGCCCTGGCCTGCTGTACCCCCTGATCTGTCGCCCATTGAACACGTCTGGGATGAAGTGAAACGCATATTACGGGGATTACCTAATCAACCGTTGACGTTGGCCTGCATGCAGCGTTGGTACAGATCTGGAATGCCATACTACAAGCATTCTTGAACTGTCTGATAGGCTCCATGCGTCGACGTTGCCAGGATTGCATTCAGGCAAACGGTTTACATACGAGGTATTAACTTCGTGAACTTAGTATTGACCCCTGCTGTGTTTACGTCACTCCTGAGCGCAACTTATTGATTCCATAACGTTGAAAATGGAATGCAACTGTTAATAAATAACAAATAAATTGTCCCTGAAAACCTTGTTGTTCTACGTCATACACATTTATTTTTACAACACATTTTAGGCATACACAGTTTCTTTTTTCCGCTAGTATATCATATAAGGTAATTCAAATAGTAGCGAACGTACAAGATACGGTGATCCAAATGGTAGTAACCGTATCAGATATTTTAATTTATATAGAAGCAACTACACTAGAAACTAGAACAAATGTCAATCTAGAAGCGGTTATCATTAAACCCCTCGTGAATATTTTGAGATCGTCGCCATAATACCCACGCTGCACAGGTCCGTGATATCAGTTGAAAACTGGTGCTACTATGCCAAAGCATCGTTTTGAAAGAAGTACGCTTCATAAAAAAGTTAACAGATGAATTGAAATCTAAAAAAAGTAATCAGTCATGCACAATAGATAAATCCATTATGTACAGTAAGCTTACATGTACACACATAAACTTGAGCAGAACAAAGAAATGTGTACAGTTTAAATCCAAGCAAATGGGAAAGCCTCATTCTTTGTCCTGCTCAAGAACCCCTTCCGAGGTATTTCCGACTTACAGAAATTGTGATCCGCGAAAATAAACCCATACAAATAAGTTCGGACACAAAGAACTAGAAATGTTAACCCCGCTAAATTCAATATCTGTACAGTATGTATATTAAGTATCTGGATGATCATACGTCCGCGTCCGCAGAGGAAATTAACGTGGGAGTAAACCGGAGTCTCCGGGAGAAACCCACATTGTCGGGTAGCTGACCCTTTCATGTCAGCTTTGGGAATCGAATCCGGGTCACTTGGTGAAAGGTGAGTACGTTGTCCACTGCGACAATCAGCCACCCACGAATGTTCCATGAAGTACATAAAACTAGTGTACATAAAACTTGTAACTCTGAATGAAGTAATTTAATTCACAGACTTGTATGTTTCAATGGCCAAACGCTAATGGTACATAATTCAATAAACAGGCTGTCTTATATCAATAAACGTAATACATATACTTTTAACCTATGTTCTAGTTTGTGTTCTTTATTCAGAGCCTAAGAATCTGTGTGATTTTGGAAACGAAAATGTTGTTTGATTAAGTTTAAGTCTATACCCTTCTTTATCAGTTACAGCACTTCGGGACAGCAAAATACCAACCCAAAAAGTAAACTAAAACGTATTCGGGGATGGACAGTTTAGATTTAGATTCTTTTTTCATTTAGAAAGTTTTGGTTACCATTTTTATCAAATAAATAATCGTCTAAGGCATCACGTTTATGTCGTTTATAGTTTATTTGAGAAACAACCAACGCTTGAAGGTTTATAATAGTGATATATGTAGCGAATGTGAGAAAAATTGGAAAAAATATTAAAGAAAGCTGCTTGCGGCCTAAATTGATTATTTATCCAACAAATGTGAAACCCGAGTGATATTTCCACAATTATATACAAACATCTCATGATTTTATTATTCTACATAGTTAAACGTAATGAAAGTCTTTTTCGCGTCTAACTCAGTGTTCATATATTTCGTTAATCATTTTGTGGAAGTGTTTTATAAAGGTGTAATCACTGTTTCCTATTCAACATGTGTTATATATCATTAATATTTGTTACGGTCTACTAATGTACATATACCAATAGAATAACTGTATTAAATTAACGATTACAACGATATTGATAGGGAAAAGTATATGTTTTATGTAATGTATGCAAATGTTTTTGAAATACTTTATCCAAACATGGATGCGTTATTGTTCTGCAAACTGAATGATTTTAAAGAAAGCTGCTTGCGGCCTAAATTGATTATTTATCCAACAAATGTGAAACCCGAGTGATATTTCCACAATTATATACAAACATCTCATGATTTTATTATTCTACATAGTAAAACGTAATGAAAGTCTTTTTCGCGTCTAACTCAGTGTTCATAAGCCTATGATAAGCAGGGTGACCTATCTAATCTAAATATTTAAATAAGGCTGCCCTTTTGTGCATTCAAACATTCGTCATGCGATTCCCATGTCTTATTTTATAAATCAAGCGCGTTTTTGTCATTTTTTTCCCTGTGGAATGTTCTCTAATTTCAATTTTTAACCAAAATTATTTGGTAAAGATCTTTTATTTCCGATCGCCATTTTGTCAACAAGAAACACTGATGTCATGGTTAATGCCATATGTTGATTTCAATCAATCGAAACCAACATTGTCGCTAATCATTTGGCAGATTTAAAAACACTATTTCAGGTTACCTTTGCGGTCAGTTTGACGAAACATTCTGACCGTGGACTTGACGAGTTTAAAGTAGATCTAGAAATAAAAAGAACATTTTTGTCCGCCGGCATCTTCAAACACATACATACTAAATGCGTGTACCGCCATTTAACAAGGGAAACCAGTCCTGCACCTAAATATTTAAAAGGGAGAGAAGGTACTTGTGTAAAGAAGCAGGGCAGTTAAAAATTCAATCAATTAGTACTATATCTTTGAGTGTTGCATATAAGTACCAGCAATTGTTTCAGTTTCTTCATTGCGTATGTTTACTAGCTTATATTTCACTGCCTTATGTGAGCTACAATAGTGAGTATTTGTGCATTGCATTATGGTTTTCTTTTAAAATTAAAAAAACAAAAAAACAAAAAAAAATTCAGATTCAGTGACTCCAGTATCAGTAACAAAAATCAGCAATTCGTGTGAATCAGAAGATAAATAACCTGTGTAAATATTTAAAGGTTGTTAAATGCAGTACGTCCTTTGTACACTATCCAAGGACCGCTTTGTTTGCCGTTTGAACGCAAATTCAACGCAAACGAGCTTGGGTCACCTACCGACCATGTAGGCTTTCTCCATCTAATCACTGTTTCCTCCCAACATAACGACCTCCTGCACCAGTCCATCCTGACCATTTAGTGTGATCACAATCAATCGATAAAACTTCTATCATATTTGCTGTTAAATGAATCAAATTTAAGGGAAAAAACACAAATGAAATGCTAACACAAGGCAAACGCAATATAATTGCAACTTTACGTTAGTTAAGTAAGTCTGAGCTTTTAACTTAGGTGTTGAATCGACAAAATTATAGTCACAGAGCTAGAAAATAACGCTAGTCCGAGATGAGGGGATTTCTACATGATTATTGTTTAGTGACAGTGGTATTTACATAGTAACTTCTCTTTATAGTTAGACATTTCAGAGTTACTCCCCTTTGATGGAAAGTCGCCATTTTTAATCTAAATGGAGTCATTTGAGGAAACACTAACATTAGCCTGTTTAAAGAATAATTGACACAGTACATTAATGAACAATATATGCTTTAAACGGGCTAGTGTTAGTGTTTCCTCAAATGACTCCATTTAGATAACAAATGGCGATTTTCCATTAAAGGAGAGTAACTCTTAAATGTCTAACTATAAAGGGAAGTTACTATGTAAATACCACTGTCACTAAACAATAATCATGTAATTTCAACAAAATTTGTAAATAAAGAAATATAACATGGTGTCAAACATTCATCATGTTCATATTGTATCAGGAGAGGTTGATATCCCATACCGTCCCTCATGTTTGGGGTATATATATATGACTAGTAAATAATACATAAAAACAGTCTAGAGTCTAGTCCTTGGAATATGAAACTGTTGTGTACACTGCTGGAGGTCTGACGTAGTGCAGAATGTATACAACTGGCAATGTCGTGTTCATAGTATACTGTTTCATGAGACGAAACCAATTATTGCTGAAGCATAATGACACTTATTAGGAAAACATCTTAGTCTCTAAAACCGTTAAAATAAAGATGACAGACTCGTTTATTTTTAAAGCGAAGCAAGCGGTATGGAATGCTTGAGAAAATCAGTCTTGAAGTGTCGCAATACATTAACATATATATTGTTTGTGTAGAAAGTTAAACTCCGATAATAAGAAACCGTGTGGATATGGCATTTACAGTCAAAATGAATGAAACATCTTTGCAGGCAAGTTTCACAATACACGCTAATGTCGTTGCGACAATGCCATTCGAACGTTGACTTGGTAGGGTTGCTAAGTGTCAGTACCACAGAGAGGTTAAAATAATATATTCATCATGTTTCTTATAACAATGTTCAACCTAACAAAGAGCATTCATCGTATAAAACACAACACCTGCGGATAAGCGAGGCTTCAACAGACTACACTGTCTCTTTTAATTTTAATATATAATTTTAGGGTCGCTGACCCTTTTTCCTACTTTGCCCTTGCATTTCTTTATTCTTTATATATTACAATCAAGAAAAAGGGATCCGGTCTTCGATACTTCCAAACCTATCCAGGCGGCCATGTTTCTCTGAATGAAAAGAGATGTTTCCGTAAATATACAACAGTTGTCCTTTCCTTGCTGGTCAATTATGCAGACTTGAATAGCTTCATACGTTTCAGAACAATGTATTGTCTCTTTTGTATCACTAACGTTTCCCATTACTCGCCCCCCGTTAACCTTGTTTACCTGCGACACGTTCACGCTAAACCCTGTCATAAGTACACACGTCCTACAAAGTTCACGAAACCAGTGAAAGGTGAACGTCTCTCGTGACCCGAAGCGAGACTAAACTCGCTCCCAAAATGGCCAAATATAACAAGTCCACATTGTGCACCTGAAACTATCATCAAAAGGATAAGCTTATCTTTCCGAAAAGGACATCACGAGGAATAATATCAAATTTGTAATATACATCAACAGAACCATGGCAATCATTTTCGTTGTGACAATATAGTAAATACGTGATGGAAATGGACAACAGATACAGAGTTGATGCTACGGCTATCGCGTCATCAAATCCTGATACCGGAGAAGATATTGAGAATGCGCTATTAGAAATTCAACCGGAAAATTCAACTTTAACAGAAATACCTAGGAACTGTCGATCAGACGTAACCACAGAATACAGCTCGGTAGATCATGGGTGGGCGTGGGTAGTTCTGTTCGGTAAGTGTCATTAAATTTGATGAAATACAGAAGTATCCATCAGAAATTCTCATGTAGCATTGTTATACCCATTGAAACCAGTTGGGTCATAATTTATGAAATTCAATATAGTTCAAACGTTATGTTTAAGCATTGAGTATGTGTGGTTCAGTGATAGGGGTACGGTGTGCTCTAAATCGGAGGCAGGTACTTTATTGACGACTCAGTCAGTCAGCCATGAAAAATATGCATGTAAATCTTTATACCAGGTCTTCACTATATTTTTCAAAGAAAGGATTTTACGATTTTACGTGAAGGCCATAGGTACAGCCACTAGTCAGGTCTCAAGTACCTTTACGTCTAGACAACGATATGTTGAATGTAGTATCTATAAGCAGTTGCAAAGTTTTTAATAGTACATAATGACAACCAAGAAAGCGCACTTAATTGTTTTCCTTGTGGATGATGATTTACTTACTTTTTAATATATGTATTTAGGACAGTTGTTTTAGTATTATGCATGTAACATGATACCTTAAAATGTAATCAAAAGGAAAGATATCGAAATCATCCAATAGGAAACAATATCATTTTGAGCATTGAATACCTCAAAAACAAAATATTCTGTCATCTGAATGGCCCATAAGGATTTTTGATTTGTATTTGCCAGCTGGAAAACCTTAGAGATTGTTGTTGAATTACAGTTAGATAATCGCCAAAACTATTCATACATGGTTTGCTTGCATTTGTATTCTTTGTAATTTTTTCATATCAAAACGTGAACGACTGTACTGTTCTAAAATTGAAATGTGATAAAATATGGCCTTATTCATTGTAATATTTAACACAGGTCATTTATATTTCAGGAGGATTCTTTATATCCTTTTTTGTAGTTGGAGGTCAAAAGTCGTTTGGTATTCTGTACGTTGAGCTGTCTGAGAAGTTTCATGTCTCCAACAAAGCTTTATCCTTAACGCAGTCTTTGGCAGGATTCTTACTGCAGTTTCTTGGTATGTAATACGCTATTATAAGATATGCTGATCCATCACAAAATTATGATTTTTTTTGCGAATTTATATGTTTTTTTCATCACAAACAAATGCTTCAGTACAACAAGTGTTTACCACGTGCTTCTCTATATTTCAGGTCCTATTAGCGCTGCTTTAAGTAGACGATATTCGTATCAAACCCTGATATGTTTTGGTGGACTGATGGCTGGTGGAGGTCTAGTATTATCCTCGTTTGCAACCTCGTATGAGGTTCTTTATTTCACATATGGCATTATTACAGGTGAGAACAAATCAATTCGTTAATCATTTTGTGGAAGTGTTTTATAAAGTTGTAATCACTGTTTCCTATTCAACATGTGTTTTATATCATTAATATTTGTTACGGTCAACTAATGTACATATACCAATAGAATAGTTGTATTAAAGAAACGATTACAACGATATTGATAGGGAAATGTATATGTTTTATGTAATGTATGCAAATGTTTTTGAAATACTTTATCCAAACATGGATGCGTTATTGTTCTGCAAACTGAATGATTTTAGTTATTAAATCCGATGTATTATATCACACATACCTGAACCAAATTACAAAGTCTTGTTTCCAACATTTACCACTAAATGATTAAGGGAAATAATAGAGGCCTTGATTTTTAAGAAATCTTACATTACAATAATATATAGGAAAAAAAAAATATATATATATATTTTTCTTAATTTTTCATTCTTATTACTTTCTTATAAAATCACACTTTCCCACGTAGGACACCTACAATATCTCCTATATAAAATTCATCTACTAACACATAATAAAACCAAGTTAACATCATTTTGTAATTATCCACATAATGAAAGTAATTCTTACGACTTTGGATGTGCAATCAAGCTACAAATAACTAATTGATATATCAAATCAAAACCTGGTTACAAATAAATCGTAATGCCTTTCAGTTCGCTGGTCACACTGTATCCATATATAAGTGTCATTGCCTCTGAAAAATATATCAAAAAAATATCAAACATTAAAAATGTTCGAAAATAATTGTATCGGAAAATATATGTGAAATACCATAATCTTTGTTTACTATTTGTTTACTAGGTATCGGGTACGGAATGGCCTTTTCGCCATCTGTTGTAATGATTGCTGATTACTTCAACAAATACAGGTCAACCGCCTCTGGGATTTCACTCGCCGGAGGAGGATTGGGCGGAATGGTCTTTCCCTACCTCATCAGATATCTACTGACGGAATACGGGCTGCATGGAGCTCTGCTTGTTTATGGTGGTATTATGTGGAACATCTGTGTCTGTGGCCTCCTCATCCGACCGTTACAAGATTATACGTCAAAAAGCAAATCGCACAAAGAATCGACTACCAGAAAACGAAAAATAACCTCTTACGTCAATACAATATGTGAAAAGATCACAAAATTTACTATGCATGTATTACTTTTAATAAGAGAATTAGAATGGAATCTCTTTAAGCAACTGAATTGCATTCTACTATTTGTCGCAGTGTTTTTTGCAATGTTTGGATATAACAGTCTGTTTAATATTGTTCCTCCATTCATTCATGAGATTGGCTTGTCGACAGAAGACGGAGCATTTGTACTTTTTATTTTTGGACTTACAGATCTCATTGGTAGAATACTGTTCGGATATACAATGGATGTATTTCCGAAACACCGCCATGAGTTGTTTGCCACAACGATTTTGTTGTTCGGTTCGGGAATCGTCTGTACTTCGTTACTGCGAAGAAAACTTGAACTATGTGTTTTGATGGGATGTTATGGTCTGTTCGCTGGTGGATACAATGGCACTCTGATGATCATGGCCGTGGAGTACGTTGACCTTGAACGTTTACCTAGTACCTGGGGCTTCATCTGCTGGTCAGCAGCTGTTGCGTTTTTGCTAAATCCACTTGCAACAGGTAAGTGTTTTCATTTATTCCATTTCTTCGAAATACAATTATTGCGCTTTAGATGATAACATTTTCTATGCATCTTTGGATTTCAAGGTCAACACAACTCTTCTATTTATGATATCGAATGTGGTTTCATTCTTAATCGAACTCAAAATCGATGTTAATAGGAAAGAATATCAGGAAAATGAATTTTTACCCGGAATATCATTGAAGATTTTAAAAAGGTACAAGGAAAATGAGACGAGAACTTTCGGAAGGATAAGCGTTCTTTTGCCTCATCGTTGATACCCGTCATGTAAATCTTTGTCAAATCCAAGTCACGTTCTTAAAATAATAACCGGTTAAGGGCAACAAACCGACAAAGGAAACTAATCCGAATCAACAAAAATTTACTGATATAGCATAAGAAATAAGAACATTTCCTGAGACGATTATGATAATCTTAAAAATTGTCAATTGCCTCATCAAAATTGATCTCTCAATACTATGATTTGTAAGTAAATCTGTCAGCAGTCTTCTACGAGTATCATGAAAAGATGATATTCGGAGCAGGTTCTTGAATACAGAATCACCACATGGTGTATTCACTGTAAGTGGAAAGCAAAATGTTACTCTCAAGAAAGGGAAAGTCCAAAATCAGAAAATGCTTTTCTTGATTTAATGCAAAACTACAAGAAGAGAATGATATTAAGGCTTTGATTTACCAAATATCTGCGCGAGCAATCTATAAATAACATCTTAAAATTGCTGAATCAGTGCATTATTATACATGTCGGCTATATTCGCATTGCAGGCGCCATCAGAGACAGCACGGGTACCTGGACTCACGCATTCCAATTGTGTGGAGCAATGTCATTGACTGCTGTTTTAATTTTGATTTTTATATTTCTAAAAAAGGCTAAGGAAAGCAGAAGTGAAGAACTCTGCTGAATTTAACTTTAGGTATCATTTTTATTGTGTTGATCTTCATATTTAAATAATAATAATAATTCGAGGTTCTTAGATACTGCTTTATCACAACCAAGTTCGTAGGTCGTCTCAAAGCGGTTCACAAATTATTATCCGTGGTTATGGGGAATTTGCAACCAGCCAATACCTTTCTCAGCTTCCTTAGGAGCATGCAGACGGAGCTGCAATTTCGGCGCTAACAGCTAGCGTTCAGCAATTCTAGCACTGCCCAACCACGTTCTTATTTGCAGCTAAGTGGACTGGAACAAGCGGAGTAAAGTATCTTGCTCAAAGATACAACACAGTGCCGTGCCATGATTCGAACACGCAACCCTTCGGTCACGAGCCCGGCGTCCTACCACTAGACTTCCGTGCCTCCTAAATAACCTGTCTAGGCATTATCATTCCAAAGTGTGTTGATGTATTAATAACTTTATTGCTTCGTGATTAGAAATAAACACTGAAGGTCTCATACATGATGTCTATGTAAAAGACATATTGAATAATCGCTTTCTATATAACAGTATAGGTCAAAGAAGTAATATAGACGGTAAAATCCCATATAACACTGGATCCTAATAGATACGAATTACTTAAAATAGTATATGGGGTAAAGAAGTCATTCCAACAGCGTGGACAAGTTTAGGTTGTCAAATTTTCGGAGCGATCCGCTCCTTTATAAAGACACAGTGAAACAGAACAGTTACATGTCCATATACATCATATTACAAGAATATAGAACTGATATACTATAATTGAAAATATAACTATTATATAAAACCAATAGTTCCCCGGCTAAAGACAGCCGAAGGCAGTATATATATATATATCGACTTAATTACTTTTCATAGAGCTTTGCTAAAGCTTTCCCCCATTTAGGAACATGGAAAAAAAAATCTTCTTTGTGATGTATTTCATGCAGGAAAAACAAATAATATTTATGTAATCTTATATATATATATATCGTTAAAATGCACGGTCGTTATGAAACATTCACTTTGATACTTGACCTTTCGGGAGAGGAAGTGTAGGTAACTTCATTTATCATATCATACATATCAACAGTGAATATATATATATATTTACATTTGCCCCCGTGTCGTCCCATTACAACAGTGTTAGCAGACAAGTGTAATTATATGGGCTATAATTACAACTGCTCGACTATAATTACAACTGCCGGTTTCAGGTGTAGGAATATATAAACAAACAAAATGGCCGCCTGAAATGTATTTGAGGCAGGGCAAATGCTTTTTGTAGGAATATGTCTATGTAAATATAAAAAAAAATACCTTGTTGTCTGGATGTAATTATTGTTGATATAATTACATTATAAAGACCACTTCATATTACTACGCATAGTACCGTTTCTGAGAAGAGTTATCTCCCCTTCTCCTAGATTACGTAGTTGTGAGAAATAAAAAATAAACAATACAAAAATCATAAGTGGTGCGCCACTGTACTTTTATTATTATTCTTTCTAATTTAAAGTTAAAAATAATACTTATAACATTGTCATACCAGATACTGACATCCGCCTCATGGTCACGACCTTTCTAACTGTCAAACGTCCGGCTGGGTGATCCCCGTGACATCAACTTGCTCATTAAACTCAGAGAGCTTTTTAATGACATAGGGCACTTCATCCACTAACTTATCAGCATTTACAGCGAACGCGCTCCACAGGATAAGTAGATCAGCTACTGCTATTCATTGCCGCAATGTACATGAAAATCCATTCAATCCATATATATAATATCAAAATAATATTTTACCTAGTTTTCTTACAAAAATATTAATATAATCCATAAAGAAAGTATCAGACATTTAATTTGTCATTGATGAACACATTTCTTTTAAAAGTACATGTTCAGATTATAATGTTTACAATGTCACATATATGTACTTAATATACAGCTAATGTTTTTGTATAACATTTTGGAGAACTTTGACATGCCCCAGCCTGGGGACTTAATCCATTACCTACTCCTCTTGGTCGAACGTTCAACAATGTAAAATGAATCAAATTTACGGGAAAAAAGACAAATGAAATGCTAACACAAGGCAAACGCAATATAATTGCAACTTTACGTTAGTTAAGTAAGTCTGAGCTTTTAACTTAGGTGTTGAATCGACAAAATTATAGTCACAGAGCTAGAAAATAACGCTAGTCCGAGATGAGGGGATTTCTACATGATTATTGTTTAGTGACAGTGGTATTTACATAGTAACTTCCCTTTATAGTTAGACATTTCAGAATTACTCCCCTTTGATTGAAAGTCGCCATTTTTAATCTAAATGGAGTCATTTGAGGAAACACTAACACTAACCTGTTTAAAGAATAATTGACACAGTACATTAATGAACAATATATGGCAATCATTTTCGTTGTGACAATATAGTTAATACGTGATGGAAATGGATACCAGATACAGCGTTGATGCTACGGCTATCGTGTCATCAAATCTTGATACCGGAGAAGATATCGAGAATGCGCTATCAGAAATTCAACCGGAAAATCAAACAGCAACAGAAAAACCTAGGAACTGTCGATCAGACGTGACCACATAATACAGCTCGGTAGATCATGGGTGGGCGTGGGTAGTTCTGTTCGGTAAGTGTCATTAAATTTGATGAAATACAGTAGTATCCATCAGAAATACTCAGGTAGCATTGTTATACCCATTGAAACCAGTTGGGTCATAATTTATGAAATAAAATATAGTTCAAACGTTCTGTTTAACCATTGAGTATGTGTGGTTCAGTGATCGGGGTACGGTGTGCTCTAAATCGGAGGCAGGTACTTTATAGACGACCCAGTCAGTCAGCCATGAAAAATATACATGTAAATCTCTATACCAGGTCTTCACTATATGAGAAGTCAAGGTCACGAGGACCTAGTCAGTCGATTGTAACAGAGCTCCGAGAAAACATACTTTTTCTAAAGTCAACACCGTATTGTGAAATACAATTTTTGGACATGGGTTAGATAGATCGTTCAACTATCCATTTGTGTGCAGACCTAATTGAATTTTCTTCGGAAAATAGTCTTTTTTGAAGTAAATGGTCGAAATAATGGACTGAGCTTCGCGGCTGACTACTACTCACCACTTACCTGTACCTGACCGAGCTGTGTATACGCTATATATACCGGACTTGTATTATATCGGAGAGATTGAAGTGATACTTTTGGGATTCTCTGCTATTATTTAGCAATATTTTTCATCATGCCAGCCAGTAATAAACCTCAACGTGGACAGAGCGCCAGTGTCAGTAGTAATAGGACCAGTGGTATCGGATGTTTGAAATCGACGGATGACCGGCTTGATGAGATATCCATGATTTTAAAGTCACTTATTACTGAGGATGTTCTTGATAGGAAGCTAGAGAAGCTGAAGATTGGCATTCAAAGAGAACATGCCGAACGTATCGAAACACTGGAAGACAGAGTGAGAGATCTGGAAAACGAGAATGAAGACTTGAAAACAACAATGACCAAACTAGAGGAGGAAATCGAGAGTGCTATAGATCGACATTATGAGTTCGCGGGGAGACATAATGACCTCGAGCAACAGGGCCGGAAAAATTCTGTGAGAATTGTTGGACTAAAGGACCCTGGTGAGAGAGAATCGGTGGAGGACTGTGTCCAGACGATAGTAGGGTTTGTGAGAGATACTCTTAAAATTCCACTACAAGCGAGTGATATAGACATAGCTCATAGACTGGGGAAATACAATGGAACCAAGCCGAGAAACGTAATTGTAAAGTTCACTCACCGAAGAAAGAAGCTGGAGATTTTACATGCCCGTAGGAACCTCAAAAAAACCGGCTTCGTCATTTTTGAAGATTTGACGCGCTTCAACCAACAGAGACTCAAGGAAGCCTATCACATGGATTGCGTAAAGAACTCGTTTAGTGTTGATGGTAAACTTTTTCTTATACTCAACAACGGAAAGAAACGTAGACTTGCATTTGAAATGCCACTCGAGGAAAGTTT